CAACAGACCGCAGAAGATCAACCCTGCATTCCAGCCCCAGCAGCAGCAGCCTTTAGGTTTTGGGCAGGTGAGTACATGCCGTGACAAAAATAAAAAATGTGCTACACAAATGGGAAAACATGTACACAAAGACATGCAAACAAAAACAACTTCCTACGTTCTGTTGATGTTTTTCGCGAAGCAGTTTTTCCCAAGGGAAGCACGTAGGAAGGATTGTTGAAATGCTTTTGTTTTATAAGATCAACAAACAATCTTGTTATAATTCAATTCAAAGGAAATGAGTGACTGATCCTGGTGGTTTAAAGATTATTACCTACATATTTTTAGTCTCAGATGAAAAAATAGGTAAAAAGGTAATAAGGTACGTGACCCCTGAAGGGAGCAGCTGAAGGAGGAAACAGAAGACAACAAATCGACTGGCGTTATTCCAGATGCTGACTGCTTTTTCTTTTCAGGTGCAGCATTTTGGTTCCTGCCATCAGGAATGGAATGGCAACTTGTCCCACCGCAGACCACAGGCCTACATCGCTCCAACCATGCATGGACACACGTTCACCCTGTCCCACAGCAGCCCCAACCACACTACGGGGCCCCATCCACACCTTGGTGGCCACCCGCACTCTCAGCCTACCTTGTTGTCCTACCCCCCGTCTGGCCCCCTGGTCACAGCTGCCCCCATGGCCCACCTCCTGGCTTCTCCAGGAGCTTCCCGCCCCATGCTGCAGCCCACCTACAGCATCTCCCACCCTGCAGGTATCGTGCATCAGGTGACGGTGGGTATCAACCCCCGGCTGCTTTCTTCACCCACTTTACACCCGCAGGGCCAGTTCAAGCCCCTCTTTCCCCCGCACTCCTACATCGCCTCACCGGCCTATGCCAGTTTCCCACTCAGTCCCACCAAAATAAACCAGTACCCTTACATCTGAGCACCCAGGGTGTCCTCTACACCACCTGAGGGCTACGGTTAACAGAGCCAATCCCACATCGAAACCACATGGTTTTCATTTTCAAAAACCATGGCAGAACCACAGAGAAAGCAAGCTATTTTTTCTATCATGTCCACTTGGGTGTAATTGAACTTTGAGCTTTAAAAAAAAAAAAAAAATACCGGCTTCTATGGTGGAGATGATTTGGGCAAAAAAAAGAAGAAGGAAAAAAAACTAGAAAGAAACGATGTATGAGTGATTTACTGAAAGGTTGAATGGATAGTTTAAAGTCACACGCAATGTGTTTTGCACATTTGATATATATTTGCATTGGATCTTCTACAAATACTCCTCAAAACAGGTAAATAATTGGGGTGGTATTGAATAGTTAGGACTTTGCACCCCCCACCCTGGATCCCAGCTATTTTTCTATATTGCCTTCTTTACATGTGCAAGACACATCCATGTTTGTAAAGCCATCCCAGTCTCTAGCTCTAGATTCGACAGATGCATACAATATGTCACTCGCGTTGTACGTCCAGACTGCGTTTGAAGTATTTGTACTCCTCCCGCCCCACCCCTTTTCTCTGTGTCTTTTTTCGGTGTTTTAGCGATGTCGAGTTAACCAGTTTTAAAAAAACAAAACAAAAAACAAAGTACGGTTGTTTCTCACGCTGCATGTGGTCCTGCATGAGCAAAAATGTACAACAAAACTGAACGATGCGTAGACGTTGCTCTTATTGTGTGTGCGTCACCAAGACTCGCTGCATTGTATTACTGTCCCCCAGCCATAGTGCCTTACATATTTGGGGTTGTTAATGTAACTACTACTTATATATGACTATATACACGATTATTAATGTACTGGACTGCAGCACTTGAAATTCCAATCAGTCGATGCATTCTATGTGTGAGTATATATATGCACCTGTGTATATGTCCATGCATAGCCTGCATGGATGTGATATATATCGCGGACAGCGGTGCTTATCTTTATGGATTCGGTGTATATTTCAATGTGACGTGAGTATAAACTTTTGGGTTTTCTCCTAAAGAACAGCATGCTTTGCTGTTGCGAATGCTAGCTGTCAAAACGAAAAACACGTTTTTTGTTTTTTTCCTTCTCCCTCCCTCTCCCGAAATAACTAGTGTACAAAGTGCAAGTACTGAGTATTGCTTAATATTTGATAATCACTTTTCTATTTAGTGAAACTCTTATTACTAACAGTATTTGTACTGTTTAATGAAACTGCAATACAATCTAAAAAGTCGTTAATTATTATGAATTATCATTTAATTATGAACTGTTTTCCGTTGTCTCCATTTTTTTTTCCCTCGTCTTTGTGCGATTTCATTTTCACTTTGTTTGGTAGATGTTTCTAGAAGTGTGGTGGGCATGGCTTTGATTAGGCGAGGAGAAAAAAAAGTAATGGTTTGGAATTTTTCTAAGCCTGAGCAAACCATGCAGTATACGATATACACACATATATGGACATACAGTATATTATAGAGTATTTAGTACAGATGCTTGATAAGGTGTGAGTTATTGTGTGCAATTCTCTCATTTATGCATGTGTGACAAAAGTTAACTTTTCCCTTTATATTGTAACATTTGTTAAAGGCTTAAGACTTATTGATGTCAACTGCTTATTTTATACATTCCGTCAGGGAGTATATATATGTATATATATATACATATATACATATATATATATATATATATATAAACGTACATATATATAAATCTATATATATATGTATTTGTAAAAGTGATGGTATCAGTAAGGACTATTGATAAGACATAGACCTGACCTAATCCCCAGAATGTGTCTAGAATTTGCTCTGCTGTTTTTTTTTTGTTTGTTTTTTTTGTATTGACTTCCTGTTTGTAAAGTAGGCAAAAAAATAGGCAAATTCTTAATGTTGGTAAACATTTTCCTGCATATGTAACGTCCCTAATATTTAGCTTAACATGATGTCAACATTGGGCCACACAGTGAGAAAGTGGTTAGTCCTCATGCTTTAGAGGAGGTCATTGGTTCGATAACCAGTGGTAACTGATACTGTCTGGCATCGATCGGCCCCCTCCCCAAGTGTTTACCAACCAAAGCACTGTCACGTGTTCACAGCAGGACAGTCTAATTGTCAAACAGACGACCCATGTGTCAAGCCTATCCCATAATAAGGGATCATTTATAATTATGAGTAACATAACAGTTCAAATTAGTGTTGTGTTGAACATGGTGTCACTCTTGCCGTACATCTTGACGGTCACAGGTTTAATCCACATCGGTAAATAATTGTTTGTGTGTGGGTTTTGGTTGATGTGCTGGCAAATTGTTCACTATGGCTTGATGGTGTGAATGTGCACGTGAATGGATGTCTCTACAGTATATATGTGGCCCAGATAACTGTGGTCATTGGCTCCAGCTCCCCCTGCAGTGTTCCTCTCGGGTCAAGCTGAAAATCTTGCACCATTTTTAATTTACTGCTTATTTTCCTCTAAATGGGATTGTAGAAAAATTGAAGCCATGTTCCAAGAAGACCTTTATTTAATAAATAGGACAAAAATTGTCACATTATTTTTTTTTAACTCATTGATCATCATCATTATACACTTATATGGAGTAGCTTAAAAAAACAGTGGAGCACATTCAGTGGTCTCTCCAGGTTGTTATCCTCTGAAACCTCTGCATTCTCCTAAAATTAGGGTGGAATTATATCATCACTCTGTACATCTATATATATGTGTATATATATATATATATATATGTACGTTGAAATGATACGTGTGTGCGTTTCTTTTCATTTTTACTAGTTCGGCGTGTAATTTTCTGTGTGCGTCTGTGTTTAATTCATATATGAAGTTGCTTGTGCAGCACCAAAGACTGTAATTCATTTCCTAAGCAAGGTAGCTATTCTGTTTGCGTAGACCTCAGTTATACTGTTAGTTATAGAATGGGGTGACATTAAAACAAACCTATTAAAAAAAATTATTTGTATTTAAAAAAATTGCTGAGGTTTTGTCTAGCTTATCGGGCAAATTAATAAGTCGTATCATTTCTTTCTTGAATGTATCATAGTTAAGCTGCTATATGATTATTGCCACTTCAATAGCTGTGAAATTAGGTGATTTCTCTGAGTTTCAACTTTGCTATTTTTGTATAGGTCCCTAATTGTCTGAATTAGAAGTGGTTTTGATTTTGGTTTTGTTTTTTTTAGTGTTTGTGTTTTTTCTTTTTTTTTGCGTTCCTATTTGGAGTGTCATTGTAACTACTGTATTGCTGATGATGAACATTAGATGCATTTGTTGTTTCTCGGGGTGTGCGTTTGTGTGTTTTTTGCATCAGTATTTTATCCCTATTAACCTTTTTGGGCTCATCACTGCATATAAATGATGTATCGATGTAACTTAATTTTTTTTTGTATGTTTTCATATCGATGTTTTGTATACATCTAAAGCTGTAGCTTGCAGGATTGATTTAACTTTTCATTGTGCGGTTTTGCAGTGTACTCTTTGACGTGTGACAGGAGCACAAAGAAATGCATGGAAATGCTTCTGTAATGGCACACAGACACACTCACCACTAAGCACTCGTACAGGTCAGTTAGGCTTCTGAGGGTGTGGGGTCCTTAGACTGGTATGTCCAAAAATGAATTAAGCCCAAATAATAATGTTAACCTCAGTTTACCGTTAAATTAATTTCTAACGGCAACGTTTTTTTTATTTTAAATCTGTTCAATGTTGTATCAGGCTAGGATTTGTTTGTTCGGAAACTGCCTTGGGTTTGGATCGCTCTCCCCTTTATGAGTGTCTCATATCAAAAGATAATGTAATGTCAATGCAAAGTCCTGGTCGTCGTTACGTGTTCCTCACTGAAAAGGAGACAGTGTCGGCAGCACTGTGTATGTGCCTTGAGATTCCTGAAAGAAAGTGAGATTTCAAGATGGTGATTCCTTAGTGTTCAATTGGAGGAGGAAGATGAAAAAGTCCAGTTAGGGCCCGTTATCCTTCAAACGGCCACTTTCCCACCAATTTACCTAAACACACACACACACAGTCTCACACACACACACACACAGACAGACAGCAGAATTTTATTACAGTCCAATTTTCATTGACTGTTTGTGAAGAATAGACGTAGCCACGTGGACAGAGCTGGTCTCAGAGGTGACTCTGTCAATAGAGGTCTGTGGGAGGTGGAGACAGCTTTCACTTTCAAGTTGTCCAATCACTAGGAGTCACTACTGCACGAGTTCACACAAGGATTTGCTGCTATTTGGTGTGTTTCTTGATGGAACCATTGTGCTTCTCTAGCCTCAAAAAATCATCTCTAAAGAAATGTCAAATCTATCTACAGAGGAAATTGTCCCAGATATTTAAAACGATATTGGACATTTTAGTACAGGTTAAAGCAAAAAGAAAACTATTTAACATCTGGTCTGTAATATTTTATTTGTTTTTTATGGAATAGCTAACATTTCTGCAAGTTTTAAATAATGATCAAATATAGTTAGCTTAAGCATAGACTGAGAATAAGGAACACAAGTTATAGAGTGGCTAAGATTTAGACAAAGTTAGACAAAAGAGTTATAGTGATACAGACAAGATAGCTACAGAATTAGCAAAGTAAGTCCGCTCGAATTAAATTTAGCAATTAGCAAAATTAACTAAGTTAGCAAGACAGGTGTTAGTTTGATAGTTTCCAAAAATAGTTGCATGTTAGCAAGATATATATATATAAACAGCCAGATGTTAGGTAATGATAAAAGTTGCTTCCATAGGCTTTTTATAGGTTACCATGAAACCTAGTCTGTAGCTACAACAGCCAAGATTTGACTAAAAACCCTTCAGCAACTGTTCCACTTTGAATAACAACATCTTCAACGACACAGTTGAGTTTCACACCAAGAATCCTTTGGCAGTAAGAAGCCTCCTCCTCCTCCTCCTCCCACAGACTTGATTCATAGAGCACTTCCTGTGGCGTCACTTCGCCACCAGACGACTGCGTCCAGTTCTTATATCAGGTCTATGGATTTTTCAGGCAGCTGTTGTCCTCCGGTCAGTTGTAGAGAAGACAGAGAAATTGTTGATCCTGGTTGTACAGATGACACAATAACAATACCCCCCCCCCAACACACACAAACACAGAAGCTCTTTGAATGATATGACCCTCAGTGAGGTTCAGATAGTCACTCTGGCTGAACAGATGATGCAATATTTTCTACATTGTGCGGTCATTGTACCACCAAGTGTTCTTAGATAACTCCCACGTTTTTGCATCTCCCTGCACGTTCCACCGGGTTCTCCTCACTTTGTCCAAAACCTGAAGCTCAGAGCAGCTTTTGTTTTTTTTTTCTTCTCTCCATCTTACCCGGGCGTCAACTGTCCTGCTCTGTCCTGGACACAAGCGTAGTTCCTCTGCAGTCAGACCCGAGTGATGGAACAATGTCCACCTTCAAACAGCCACACTGTTCCTTTGTCTCCTCTGTACAGTATGCTGTACCGGACCATGCTCCACTGTTGTTTTCTTTAGAAAAGAGACCGTGTGATGACGAGGCATGAACTTGGCAGATTAGTGCTTGAAATAGTTCCCCAGTAATACGCATGTGAAATGTTCTCTGTGTTTTTGATTCCTCCAAAGGTATTCACCAGCAATGCGCCTGCATACACTCTCCAAGTACTTGTTAGGATAAAAATAAAATGGATGCAAGGAAATTTTAAAAAAAAAAGTTTTTTTTCTTCACACTATTGATAGCCTTGATTTATGGGGTTGTTTTTTTTAAATTAAGGATTTGTTTAACATTTAACAGATAAAATGGAGTCATTTGTAAAACAGTTAAGGTGGTGACATTTACTATCAGAAAGATCTGCTGCGGTATTATCCTCTTAGAAATGTTAATTCAGGGTCTGTATTATTCTACACATGCTACTGTCTTTGATTTGATTGGTCGAGCTCAGTCTTGTTTTTGCTTTTCCGGTCACCTATGAATTTCAGAGTTAATTCACACTGCAAGTTATGGGATCGTCTGTTTAGACTTGATTATGAAATCTAAACTGTTACTGTTTAAAACCCGTAGATTTGTGGCTTTTTTTGGTTGGTTTTTATTTCCTACGTATGCTATTTTTATTTTCGTTTATTTTTTTTATTTTAATTTTGTGCTACACTAGTTTGCCATGTAGCAATTGCACTGTGCAATATTTACAGTATGAGGACTGGGAAAACTAACTCTATGGATGTGATGTCTCTTTACAGTTTGCGGTAGTGTTTCCTCTCTAGTTCTCAGTGATTTAGGTGTGACCAAGCCTTCTATACTTTGTCACATTAAGCGGGTTTTCCAGGTGACTCTTTTGGTGAGTGTCAAAATAAGACTTTATGGTGTATTATTGTTAAGATTCACTTTGAATTAAAAAAATTATTGATGCACCTGCTTCTGACTCAGGCTGATATATCTTGGCATTTTATACATTTTCACTCTTGTGATTTTTGTCCATTGAAAACATTAAAAGCATTAATGTATTTCCTCCTTAATTTGGTTTCTTAATAAAATATAAAAGTTTAAGAACATGGGTAAAATATATTTATTTTATAGAAATAGCTAAGCTAAATCTCTACATATAGTCTTTAAATCTAGGTGAATTGGATTCATTGGATTCATGTTTGCTCTTAAAAGTATTTATTTTATTTACAATAGTTTTTATTATTGTTATTATTAAAGTGCTTTCTTTGATCATTCAATAAAAAACACTAGCTACTATTATATTAACCATTTCAAGTAATGTTAGACAGTCCCTGACATGTTGATATTACAGTCATTTTTCTTAAAAGCTGGTGCTTGTAAGTAGGTCTTGCCTGACATTTTGTGGCCATATGATGATACTACAGCCATAGTTGAAGTCGCCTTATCTTCTCGTGTGCGACGCTAAAAACCTTCAGTGGAAGTCGTAGCTAAAAGGTAATTATGTATATTTTTTTAGTGTTGTTGTTGACCATATTATTTACTTTATGATAACATGAAAACATGGAAAATATTTTACAGCACATTTAAGTTGAACTCAGCAGTTCTGTCCTCTTCATCAGACATCGTTTTCATCATCATCAGTAGCAGTGGCAGTGATGGCTAATTAGGTTAGACGGCTAACTGCTAACCCTGGATAACTGCTAACCCTGGAGTCAGGATTTATATTAAATTAAGATTACGTTCTAAGTCATTAAAGAAAAAAAATCTTCACCATTTTGTCCTGAAGTTGTAGGCTGTGATAAATAATGTCAGTTCTGATAGTGACCAACGGTCGCTGTGCTAAACTGTATTTTTGTGTGGAACATGCTTCGACCCACTAATGTCCTGCCCCGTGGACCTCGTTCATCACACCTGCTGTAGACTTTCTGTTAGAGCGGAGCTGCACAGTGTTGTTTGTTACCATCTTAGAAAAATCTGCTGAAATTGCACATTTTATACAGGAGGGAGAGGGGGGTGTTCTTCAGCACCTGCTTGTGCACTATGTGCACTGCGCGTAGCTTACCAGCAGAGGGCGCCAAACACAATGTTAAGCGTTTTCAGTTTTAGAGCGATGAGCTGAAATTGACCGTAGTGGCCAGAGAGGGAGGACGAAGACAGCAGCAGCAGCGGCTTTAAATCTGTCACCCAGCGTCACCTGAGGACATCACGTGCCTGTGAGGCAGAGGCAGCTGCTCTGAATGAGCCTCTGAATGTCAAACCTGTGGAACAGTGCGCGTCTGTGTGCTGCGCAACACGCCGCTGATTGGTGGATAGTGCATCGATAGAGGAGTATTTCTAAAATAAAATGAAATAAAATAAAATCCCTCCCATCGCCTCCCACCTCAAACCTCCGGTTCTCCTCCTACTGATCCCCCCTCTCTCCTCCTTTCCTCCCCCCTTTTCCCTCCCTCCCTCCCTCTCTCTCTCTCCTCTGTCCTCCCTGCATGTATCCATCCATCCAGATCTGGACACCGCGCGCATCCACACCGCGGCACCGTCGCCACAGTCGTTTCTTCCCAACGTTTCACGCACAAGGACCGCGATCCAATGTATTATTCACGACCGAAACTTCAGCAACTTCCCCACCACAGGATATGGCTCCCGGTTTGAGGACGGATGCTGGAGGTGGAGGAGAGGCGGTGAGATGCTGGAGGAGCAGGTGGAGCAGCCGGGGAGCAGCGGCAGGGATGCTGCTGGCTGCGGGGATGCTCTCACTTCTTGCCCGGTGCGCGGTGGCCGCAGAGGGTGAGTCCGCTCCAAGAGCATTTTCTTTTCAGCCCAGTGAGACAGGAGTGAGAGGAGTTATCACACACTACATCACACAGTCACTGCTGCTGCTGCTGCATGATTCACAGGCTGTGCTGCAGCTGCTCGGCTGCGAAATCGTCCCCTATTTATCTTCTTTTTTTTTTCTTAAGACAAAACCCTCCTAAGTGTGCGTTGTTCATGCAGACGGGGACAGTTCCTCAGCTCCGTGTTTGTTCGGAGCCTGTGACATGGGAAGCTCTGCAGGTCTGAGCTGAGTGTTTTCCGCAGACAAGCGGTGTGTTGTGTCCAAACAGCTTTTTTTTTGTGCAGGGGATTAATTTTCTCCCTGACCCGCACTGACATGATTTGTTGTTGGAGGTGGAGGTGGAGGCAGCAGCAGCAGCAGCAGCTCTGCTCTGAGGCTGGACTGATATGTGGCTCAGGACATGCTTGTATGTGATGTAACTCACTGTATCATTTTTTCTTTCTCTCTGTACTCACATCTTTGCACCTGAGTGTGAAGCCACTCAAAGCATTTGTCACACACACACACACACACACACACACACACAGACAGAGAGAGAGAGTCCTGCAGTTAAACTGACTGTCTCTCTGTCTTTCTCACCTCATCTCAACTCGACTTACCTTTTTAACCTCTGTGTTTTTTTTGTTTCTTTTTTACGCAGTTATATTGTAATATCATGGCTGTTTATAAATTTTAATGTGTGATGTTTAATGGGAGTCAGTCAGTCAGTCAGAATGTGTGATGAGCTGTTTAATGGGAGTCAGTCAGTCAGTTGAACCACACCACTGTGATAGCCTGATTGAAACTGGACTTTATACAAACTCGGAGACACAGACGAGACCTTCGTCTGATGTTCCATAAAGTTGAATTCTGTTTAAAAAATCCTGCCTGAAAGACAGAGTTTCTGTTTGACCAGTACTGTTTTTCATCCCCCATGATGAAATCCCAGATCCATAAAGAAAATATCTTAACATTAAAGTATTAGTATAGTATAGTAAATGTAACAAAATTAATTTCAGGCATTTTGTGTCTGCACTGCAGTACACGTGTTCCCATTCTTTTAAACAGGTCTTCAACAGGCGGTTGGTGACCCCTGAGGGGTCTGTGAAGTCACTATGAAGGGACTGAGAAATATTTGGATAGAACAATGTGTCCAGGTCCAGTTTAGTATGAAATACAATTTATCACACAGTACATATATTTGTGTATATATGTACACATATATGCATATACTGATTGTCTATGTATATATGTATGTATGTGTATATACGTATATATTGCTCAGTATATTTATATATTTCTAGACCTTATAAATTCATTTAGAATTGTCTGAGTGTACATATATATGTACTGTATATTAAATACCTTTAGAATGTGTACACACATGAATATATATGTGTTTGTATGTGACATTAGTTCCTTAGTACAAACTAGGATTTGTGCATTTGACTAAGTATTTTTGGACGCAAACTGAATAAGAACAATTAGAAATTGTTTTTTAAAAAGTGTTCGACTTGTATAATTGTAAAATTATCTGACACTCCACGAACCTTCACTTCACCTACGAAGCCTTAGGTGTGTGTAAATATTTAACAGCACCTCCATCAACACCGTCACTCCTCCGGTGTAATGTGGGGACTGTAGTCTCACCTCTGCTGATGCACAGGCAGACTCCTTCTCCTCCATCCTCCCACCTTTATCCCTCCCGTCTCCTCCTCCCCCTCAGTCAACACATGCATTCTTAAACACATCAGCCTATTAGCCGCAGCATCATTGGAGTTTAAACGCTCGGAGACACATAGTGGTTCTTTAAAAAAAAAACAAAAAAAACTGTGGTGTAGAAGGTCGGTGCAGCAGGGCAGTGTGGTCCTTTGTGTGGAAACACGAACAGGTTCAGTGGATGAGTGTGGATGTGGTGGTCTTCACTGAGGCAGACCGAATGTTAACAATAGTCTGTTCAAAATACCCTGGCAGCAGCAGGAGCAGGAGGAGGAGGAGGAGCAGGAGCAGGAGTGTAGATGATGTAGAGATTCAATAAGTTTAACGTTTTAGGAATATTCATTTTTCATGACTGAAATGTTCCACCTCAGATCAACATCATTTTAAAAGATATAAAAATATATATTTATAAATATAAAAAACTGATAATGAACCTTACATATATTAAATAATTATGCTAATATCGGACATCCCTAATATATGATACTGAGCCATGTGGCGTCATGGTGGTCTGTGGTCGCAGCACTGGTGGATTTGTCATGTTCTGGTACTAAGGTCCAAAACATGTAGTATTAGGTTAACTGTCTAAATTGACCATCAGTGTGAATGTGAGCGTGAATGGTTGATATGTGACCCACTGATGGACTGGTTGACTGTCCAAGGATTATTCCGTTCCTCACCACTGGTCTCGACTGCTGGTCTTGACCCCACATGTCTCTCCTTGACCCTGAGAAGGAATGAGTGGATAACTGTAGTCCTGCACTACTACGAGAGCTGTTCTGTTGAATCCTGGTTTTATTCTAGTCTTTGTTGACACCATCACTTCACGTCCTCGTCCTCTCAGCCATATGATGTGACGTCGGTGTTGTTGCTGCACAGTGAAAGGTCAACCCTTGGTAAAACCTGACTGTTTTGGCGTTGACACGTGTATGTATTTATGTATGTGCGTTGAGCTGCATCGTTAAAAACATGCAGATTGAGCTGTAGATGAATTGACCACAGACTCTTTATGTGCCTCAGTGATGGACTGGTGACCTTTCCCCTGATGTCAGCTGAAATTGGCGGCAGCGTCCACTGTGACCTCCACCATGATATAGTGACGTGAGATAATGAATGAATGAGAATGAGCTCATCCAGCCAGAAGACAACACGTGTGATGAGCATGGTATAAAACCTGACTCTGACTGTAGCAGTGAACCAGTGTACAGGTGTAGTGGTGTAGATATCAGCCCGTTAACCATGGAGCCGCGGCGCTGGGGCGACAGCAGAGGAACTATGTGGTGTTTATAGATTTATATCAGGCGTTTTGGGGTAAACACAAGAAATAACAAATGGCTGGTGATGAATGTGAAGTCGTTCTGTGACTTTATGCTCAACCAGCATCTTATCTCTTCGGAGATAAATTCAAGTACGGCCTGACATTGGCTGTTCCCGAGGACTGTACCACAGAACGCCACCCGCTGACGTATGAATGGACCACCCAGATATCGATCACTATCAGTACACTGTGTTGCTGAAAAATGTATCACTACAGGTGCAAACAAAAGTTAAAAAAATATATATAAATATATGTACACATATATTTATACATATATGTAGACATATATAGTATGTCTATATATATATGTATCATAGTTCAATATCATGATAGTTTATCATGGTTGTATCATAGTTTGGCTGTCACCTCCTCAGTGCAGGTTTTTAATATTTTAAATATATTTTATGTGTTACAAATATATTGTAACACATACTACATACAGGGTACTGCAAGAAATAACCTGTACGTACGGGTAAACGAGATTTGTGAATGTTTTTCGCCGTATTTCACGCCCTACAATGCCTCCTAAAGGGTAAATATATATACGTGAATGATATAATAACTATCACATTTCTACTTTGCGTTTTTTTGCCCATCGTCTTGGAACGTAACCCCCGCGACAGACAAGGGACCGCTGTATATGTATTAGCATTGTTTACGTATCAAAGCTGCTGTTTGAAATGATCAAATCTTTGATCTTTGTGACTTACCGTTGCACCATAAGGAAACCAACAGTCTACTGAGTACATGTGGTACAGTATATATATATTTATCCTTCCTTGTCTGCAAACATGAACCTGTATTTGCAGTTACATCGATCCTAAATCACCTTCTTACTAACGCCCGCTCCTGAAATCTTTTGTCGAGCGAGCAGCTGCAGCTGACCGAGAAAGAGCAAGCTAAGCGAAAAGACGGCGGCCGGCCGTCCTTCCACAATGAAATTATTTTCCTCTGACGTCAGCGCTGTTTATTCTATTCACTACTACCTGCCTGACGCTTTCACCGAGTGCTGACAGCCGGGCTCTGCTGGGAGTTCACCTCACAAACCACCGCCTTTGGTCTGTCAACACCCAGGAGACATGAGAGTGGGAGTTGAACCATTGTCTGTTTGTGGCGCGGGTTGGACTTTTTTTTTTTTAAACCCAGGAAAAATTGAAATGCAAGTGAAGCAGCATTCCAGTCTTTTTGACTGTTGCTGTTGTTCCGTTTCCTTCAGTTTTCTTTTTCCTGAGTCCAGGATTAGTTTCTCAGCCCGTGGTGTGTTGGTTAATGAAAAAAACAAAAACAAAAAACAACTTCCAGGAATTGTTTTTTACAAACACTGACCATGAGTCACCCTCGCTCTGACAACCTGTCTGCATCAGCTCTGGGTTTTCTGGAGAAAGTGGACAACGTGATTTTTCAGTTTATTGTTTATTCGCCTGGTTACAGCACACTGCAGAGGTTTACTCTTCCACAGTTAATTATGTTGAGAGTAAGCATGTCAGGGGGGGCTTTGATGGTGTGTGTGTGTGTGTGTGTGTGCTCAGTTCGCTCTTCTTGGAAAGAGCCTGAGCCGTGCCATTTGAAATTCCCAGGGTTGTCCTCTGGGAAACGATAATCATTTCTTTGCTACTTTTTCCACCCGTTTCAAAAATAATTGTCGCGATAACAAGTCAGGGACGTCAAATCAAACCGTACGCTGTGTTTAAGGACCGGACAGAACCTTCTCTGTTGCAGACTGTGCTTGTCACATAAACCACTGTTTCCCAAAGACTGGGTCGCGACGCAATTTGAAAAGTACTGGTCTAATGCAACGGTATATGTTTAAAACACAATGGAAGCAAAGTAGAATTGATTTAAAAAGTACAAATTGAAAATTGATAAAAAAACCCTAATATATATTTATATATATATTTATACACATATAATCAATGAGAAAATACAAACATAGAC